CATTCAGCTATGAGACATTTGCTTTTTGAAGTGCCCCGAAAATAACCTTGAAACATGCCTTCTAATGCCAAGTCGCACTGCCTAGTACAATGCAAGGCCTTGATACCACATTTTTAGCCACTTTGTATCCACCAGCCTTAGCTAGGGTGCCTGATAGGCTATGCAGATGCGGGGCAACTGCCAACAGTCCTATATGTTGTGAAGCAAAGCTCGTTACCGCATTTCCACCCTCCGCTGCCAGACACCTGTACATTGGTGCACTCCGTCGAACCGACAATACAGCACCCAATATTTACTTGTCTACCATGCTATGTGCGTAAGCATCCTCTACTAATCGAGCGCCCTGCTCGGGGCATGAAGTCCACTGGACGTATATTCGTCGCAGGAAGCCAATATATCTACTAGAAGGGAACTAATTTGCCTCTAATATACATAGGGGAAACAATGACGCTGAATTGTGCGGCGGCAGCGGGGCATCGGACACCTCAGCCTCTGCTCGTGCTAACCAGACACCGAGAATATCATTAATCCATCAGGAATCCCATTCCTTTGCAATCCTCGTGTAACACTGCCCACGACGTCTTTCTGCCGTATCATGATAGAGCATTAAAGGCATCCACTTAGACTCATTTGGAGAAGGGCCCAACTTTCCATGAACGCTGCAGAATCCAGCAAGCGCACGACAACCCAGAGCTGGAAATGCCATACGCATCTTTCACTGGCGTGACGCAGGGCCAATATAGGATGGCTTCAACGATCAGCTTATTCCACTGGCACCGTAGGCGCGGCACTACCACTTGTCCACCTTCCCATCGGCTCATTATCTCCTTGCGTTTAACAGACCACATTATACGCCAGACCGCCCGACGCCTACCACCTGCGTAAGAAAGCGCGCATCGCACCACCACTGTGCGGGATTTACTTTGCGCTCTTCGTGGTTCAATGCATGAAGCTGCCACACCGCTACCATCCATCTTCCCGCCATGCTGACCACCCCCATGCCGTCGCAACGCACTTTCTGTATAAAATACAATAACATCTTCTAAGAAAGAATAGCCTCCCTCCGCAATTGAGTGCTGTACCACTCACGCCAAGACTCTAGTCGCACGTCGAGGCGTCGATTCTCAGCCTTCCCAACTGGACCTGCAGTTCAGTTCATTTGAGTAGACCAAGCGTACAGCCTGAATAGCAACACTCCCCATTGCCTGTGATGGCCGTTTATTTATCCCTTACTGTGAAACGAGAACCACTTCCTCAGCGTCTCTCTCACGATGGTGCGCTCACCTAAGCACATTCCAGCGCAATCCAAAACGTGCAGGAGGGTTTTCGTTACCGCGCAAACCTGCCTAACTCGCGGCTGCAGACCTCAGCCGCACCCTGCCCTGCATGAAACTCCCAAACGGCCGTCATCCATCTCCCCGCCATGCTGACAAGCCACACAACTTCGCAACGCACATCCTGCATGCGTACCATGCCCGCACGGCCTGTAGCGCCTGCTGACGATCCCAACGCTCCACCGCTTGCTACAAAGGCCATTTCAACGTGGTGATCCTAAAACTGCAGCTCTACCGAAGGACGCGATATTCCGCGAATGCTGCAGAATCCAGCAAGCGCACGGCAACCCAGAGCTGGAAATACCATACGCATATTTCACTGACGTGACGCAGCTCCAATCTAGGATGTCTCCAACGATCATCCTATCCCACTGCCGCCGTAGGCGCGACACCTCCACTTGTTCACCTTCCCATCGGCTCATTATCTCTCTGCGATTAACAGGCCGCATAATACGCCATACCGCCTGACACCTACTAGCTGTGTAAGAAAGCATGCATCGCACCACCACTTTTCGGGCTTTGCTTTGCGCCCCTCGTGATTCAATGAAGGAAGCTGCCACACCGCCATCATCCATCTTCCCGCAATGCTGACAACCCTCACGCAGTCGTATTGCGCTTGCTATATACAAGACAATAGCAACATATTCTAAGGAATAATTGTCTCCCTCCGCAATTGAGTTCTGGAGCAACTCACCCAAAGACTCTACTCGCACGTCGTGGAATCGATCATCAGCCTTCCCAACTGGACCTGCAGTTCAGTTCATTTGAGTAGACCAAGCGTACAGCCTGAATAGCAACTCTCCCCACCGCCTGTGATTGAGGTTTATTTATCCCTTCCTGTGAAACGAGCATGCCCTACTCAAGGTGGCAAAAACTCACTCCATGCTGCGCGCACCTAAGCACATTCCAGCGCAATCCAAAACGTGCAGGAGGGTTTTCGTTACCGCACAAACCTGCCTAACTCGCGGCTGCAGACCTCAGCCGCACCCTGCCCTGCATGAAACTCCCAAACGGCCGTCATCCATCTCCCCGCCATGCTGACAAGCCACACAACTTCGCAACGCACCGCCTGCATGCGTACCATGCCCGCACGGCCTGTAGCGCCTGCTAACGATCCCAACGCTCCACCGCTTGCTACAAAGGCCATTTCAACGTGGTGATCCTAAAACTGCAGCTCTAC